ATCTATTAGTTTCTAAGCAGGGCAGGCTGTGTTGCCCTGTTTGGTCTCTGGTTCTGCTCCTCCATGCTGCGCTACCAGTGGACGGCATGGGCGGGGCTTAGTCTAGTGTTCTTATTCAAGTCTATTATTATATGAGACAACACTGCCCTCTAGTGGACAGACCTGAGCATTGCTGTAGAAATGATGATCAGCCTCACCCCTTGTATTCCCGCGGGGAAGCTGTACTGAATGGTAATGGACCCGCAACCCTCGTAGCCCGGCAGGCTCAGCCAGCTGCGGGTCACCGTCATCGTGCCCATCGGCTGTGTCCCCGTGTACACTCCGTGGAAGGTGTTACATATCGGGCACGCGGGCTTCACTTTAAAAACGGAGTCAATACACTCCGTGCAGAAAGAGTGCTGACACGTCAGCGTTTTCTTTTTCTGAATTGGGTCCAAACAGATGGCGCAGTCTCCGGAGCTCTCAACGTGAGGGCGGCTGTTCGGCGTGTTTTCCATCATTTTCCGGACTGTGACGACAAGTTTTCTCTCTCCCTCCCCCATGTCCTGCGKGTATGGCAGGCCATTTTAACATAAAATTGTCTTCGTCTGACTATCTGTTGTAGATATCTAAAAAGAAGTTTTGACTAGAAAAAAAACATAGATATATCTATGGGACTAACAACATTTTGGCCATGCGGAATGGTATTTAAGACACCTGTATTTGCATTTAGACTAGTCAGAAGAACAATTCAAGATATCTTAAAATAAATAGTTATAATTGCATTTCTAGATATCTCTCATTTAGTTTTGCTTAGCCATTATTTGCTTTCAAGATATCTGCAATTAAATGTGCACCAGTCAGATCTTTCTATGTGAAATCTAAAATAGGAAGATATCTTAATGATTTCACTTAAGATCTCTTTAATTTGAATTACGGATATTCATAAGGATATTCCAGATATTTTGAAAGTAAATAATGACTAGTAAAAACTAACAAAGATGTCTCTGACAATATATATTTTTCTTTTTAAGATACCTTAGCCCCAATACAACTAATTGGTAAACCTGTCATTTATACTAGTCATAATCTAATTAGAGATATAAGAAATGGGTATTTTGACCAGTTGCATATAATTAAAGATATATTTAACAACTAATACTGTATGTCTAGTCACAAACCAATTTCAGTTTTCTGGAACGTAAGCGTGGTTAAGCTTTTGTGTTAAAATGGCCTGCCATTCTCAGCTGACATGCGACGTCACCAAAATACATGTACCACGTGGTAGAAAGTGGAGCAAAACCTGAACACTAATTGGTTGTTATTTTGTTTTATGTGATAAACAATCTAACTTGTTTGTTTGTGTCAGCTGTTTAACACAATCGTGTCCTGCAGTGACAAGATACAAATCTGAGGTATTTATTCCTTTAAAAAAATGCTTTAAAAGTATTACAGAAAACACTTTAACCTCAAACCATTTTGTATTTTTGTCCTGTCAGCTTCTTTTTTTGATCAATACTTCCAAAAAATATAAGTACTTTTGTTTTCAATTAAAGGATTGTTTTAGGAAGAAATTAATTAATCAACTACTTAATTAATCAACTAATCAATCAACAAAACAATCAAAAAATACTAAAATACGGCAATCGACATGACTAATATTTTCTGAGTAGTATCAAGGTTTTTTATGATGTATGTAAAGGACTGAATTAGGATCAAAATAAGAAGAAAGTGTAACCCATCACCTAATTTCCCTGGAAACTGTCAGTAGTTCAGTTGTGAAAAACACTTTTTTTTAATTTAAGAACTACATTTATTGTCCCAGACAAACCAAAACAGAACTTTTTATTCAAGTATTAAAATGCGGGGCACATAATTCTGGATTTCAACAAAGTAAGAGCAAAACTCCTTTACAATCATTGTGTAACTCCGGGGAGGAGGGTTTCCTCTGTCCACCTGTTCCTCAGTGTGGTAATGCATAGAAAGGTTTGCACAGTAGCTTTAATAAACTACAATCCTGTGTCCCAAAACCAACTCAGTTGGTCCCTTAACGAAAACAAAGGGGGCAAAACAAATGGAAAGTATCAGATGAACAGATATGATCTATGCAGCCAAACAGGTCGCTGAACATCGCAAACACAAACGTAGTTATATCAGGGTCAGCATTTGGAAGATAACTATTTTGTGGAAGAAGAAAATTTGGTAAAACAATAACGTACATTTTTATAAACGGTGTCACATTTGTACGAAATGCCAACTGGTACAGAAACATAAAGTTTCTTAACATCAAAATACACCCCATCCTTCACTGAAGCCATCATGCTCGACTTCTTTCAAATCAAAACTGAATATAGAAAAGGCACAACAAAATGAGATTAGTATCCCACCTTAAATCAATTGTTCCTGCAACATTTTAACCCCAACATTGTTGTGGGTTCGATTTCAATGAATTTTCGAGCGTTAGCTCGTTTCAAATAAGAAGATCAATAGGCAAGTCTCCCAGTGTGACAGGGACTGAAGCATAGATATTTAAAGAGCTTTTGTGCCTTTGATTTGGTTCAAGTGGTCTATATGCCCTTAGTGGTTGACATCGTCATAAAATCTGGTAATCAAGAGGAGCGCGTTACAAGCAAGTGAGGTAATGGGCTCAACGCCTGGGAGACATCTTAAAACAACAGGAGTTACGGCTGGAAAAAAAACCCAGCAAGAACTGTTCGATGCATGCCAAAAAGTGCTGCAATGAGACATCGCTTCAACATTCCTCTTATTCACGTAGAAATATGTCTGGAGATGAAGATCACACACAAATGAAGTTTTCAAAGCAACTGGCTTTAACTTGCCCAGCCAATAGGTGATGGCTTCACAAAGCTGTTGGCCAGGAGCACCCTTCATCAATAAGAGAAGTAAAAATCCAAATTACTTCGACTTCACGAAAAAAAAACCCTAACTAACTTACCAAAGTGCCTGTGAGTGCTTTAGATTGTGGAATCAAAAAACAAAGTAAATCTGGTTCTAAAAAGCAGAGCTTTGTTGCCACATGAACCAAATACAATCATACAACAGATAATTAATAAACTTGTTCAAACTAACATTGTTGGGAAATCTAACCAAGGATGTGTGCTTTTTAGAGCTGAAGTCGGGGGTGGGGGTTGCTTTGCTTCAGCTGCTCCCTCTTGGAGGGGTCACCACACGGTGTGAACTTGAACGGAAGATTTGGTGTTTTTTTTTTTTACACTGGATGCCCGAAGGCCGTGGCACTGACCAATGAGCTACCGCAGGGAAGAAAATAAAACCTCAAAATAACAAACTGATTTCCCAAATAATAAACGATTACCATGAATCCCAACAAGCTCTTAAAGAATTGCATCCCATGTCAGGTCAGTTTCCTGCTTGAGATTTTCTGACACTGCATTTAATGCGTTTTCTTCCACATGTGGCATCAGATAGGCCGAACTCTGCAGAAAACAACAAATTAATAAAATGAACGATCAGTGGAGGMGATATGGGCTCTTCTGCAGCATTAGACGTCTGTCTCGTGAGGTTTTTGTCTTAAGCCATCTTTTATGTGGCGGGCAGACACAGAGCAAAACCTGAAGCTGAGTCGGGTCCACCAGCAAGGACTCAGAAAGTCCAATAGTCCTGGAAGAATCTGTCTCTTTTTTTTTCCCTTCTTAATTTGGTCAGTCTGCTGTGATGCCTTTCTCTCTGAGCTCCTCGGTCACTCGCACCAAATAAGTGGGGTCTGGGTAGCCAAAGCTGTGTGAGGAGACGTAAAAAGTCATCAGTCTACAGAAACAGGGCCATCTGCCCAGACAAGAAAAACATTACAATTTCAGTTATTCACTTCCAACTAAAACAAAAATAAATTTAAAATAAATCGATACATACCAGCGCGGCCCACCGAATATTGAGGTCTTGTGGTGAATGTCATTCCAGGTGATGACGTTTTGCAAGCCTGTAGTCATGGAGGTACCGATGGTGAAGATAAGGCGCTGTTCGAAGGCCCGGCGCAGCAGGCCCAGCACGCGGTTCCCCTCGGGGCTGTCAGGGAGGTAGGCCACGCGGTCTGTTCCTGGGTATCGAACACCAGGGTTGGGGTGTTCTAGCTGTTAAGATGAAGAAGAAGCAGCTTTCAGTGTCTTATAGCTTCGGTGAGGTCTTTAGAGGCACGATCTGGTCATTTTGATGTAACTGAGGCACAGAGGAAAGAGAATAAGAAATCTTTATCCAGTCTAGGCTAATAGCTAGCTGAACAGGCTGTGGTAGACAAAGTAGTTTCCTTACTTGAGTCAATTTGAGTCCTACTAGTGAAAAAAAATACTCCAATAAAATTAAATGTAGCTATGTAAAATTATTATTTACGGTAAGCTAAAGTCCTGGAGTATGTGCTTTCAAAAATACTTAATCACTGAAAGTACTTAAAATCTTAAAGTTTAACGATGCATTTCACCTGAGTGTAGTTGAGAATAATTGGGAAAAATTTCCACTCTATTGAACAGATCGGTAACTCCAAATATGTAATAATGCATTAGTCTTATATAGCACTTGTCTAGATGCTCAAAGATTTAAAATTTCCTGCATTATTCATTCACTCCTCAGACACACGGTGGTTGAAGTGTGGCTGCCATTCTGCACCTATACAGTCCCTCCAGACCACAAATAGATTTATACATGGGGATGTGGGGATTAGTCCCAGTGACACAATGACATTATGCGCTCAAGCAGGGATTTGAACCACCGATGCTCTGCTTTTAAGGTGAACATCTACCTACTGCACCAATGAAATCCATCTTCCTAATTATACCCCTTTTACAATAACTGTCAACTCATTTGGTCTCTACAGTCACCACTTCTAGACAATTTGATAGAACCTGGTATTAATTAAGGAGCTCTGAATCTGAGGTTTTTAGGTATTTGTAATATTTGTACCTGTTAGCTGAATTGAAAACAGCATTTGTTGCAATAAACTATAAATACTTGTACAAAACAAAATAAAGTTTATTGGTAGAAATCCATTAATAGAACAAAGGGACTAAAGGTCTAAAACGCTCTAACTTATATCTTAATACAGATCAGTCCATGTTCAAATCAGGACTAATCAGGATCTAAACAAAGAACCACAACAGTGCTGAAACATGTCTAGTATACCTAGTACGGCAATAATAGTAGGACAAAAATATTATTCTTCTCACAGCCGGATTAAAGCTGCTTCTCATCACCTAGTGTATAGGGGTGTAGAGGGTACTTTTATAGCATGTTTGTGGAACAAAATAAATGCAAACTACACAAACACATCCAAAATAGTAACTAAAGCCTTTAAAGAAATGTAGTTGAGTAAAAAGTATGATTTTTTTAATGTAGTGGAGTAAAATTAAAATGTTTTCAATAAAAATGCTACCTGTATAAAGTCAACTGTACTGAAGTGCATTCTGTACAATAAGTAAATTTACTTTGTTACTACCAACCTCTGTAAATCAAAGCCTGTTTGTTAAATATTTTTTCAGCCTTATAAAACTAATTTTCAAAAATGCCATGCCAGTGTGAAAGAATGCTATTTTAGTTACACCGTCACACTTTTGCATGTTGGTTTAACTTGTTGTCATTTTCTCAACCAAACAACAGTTAGTCTTGTCTGAACAAAGACTTGTGTCTTTACTTTTTTCATACTCTGTGCCTGCGGAAAAAAGGAAGCAATAAATTAAATTAGGTTCAAATCAATTTAAAAAAAAAAGTTTTGCCGTGTTACTGCAGTGACTGTGTAGCAGCAATGTGTGTTTGATTAAAAAGCTGCTGTAGGCAGGATGTTTGCAGGTCGTGTCCCTTTGCATCCATTTATAAACAGCAGTTTCTTCACTCGGTGACAAATCTCATTTAATGACGTGTTCGGGGACTTTACACCTGCTGGTAATTGATTTCCGGTTCTGGCAAACATGACGAACTTCAGAGACTGCAGCTTTCTAACCACAAAAACCTTTGTTCGAAGGAGGAAACATGATGCCCGTAAAAGCTGTTCCTCTCAGAGCACAGGAGGTTATTCCCAGTCAGCAAACTGCAAACGTATCAGTCTCAAGTTGTTTTGTGGCTCAGTAAGTAAACAGAATGTGTAGGATTCTGTCAAGCAGTTTTATTAGAAGATATTGTTTAATTAGAAAATAAATGTTGGAAAAAAATGTTAATCATACGAATAAAATAAAAAATCACAGCTTTTGTGTTTACCAGATTTATGAGTGTAAATGTACGTCTATTCTCAGACTCTTCATGGAAACATTTACCAAGTAAGTTTTATTTTGAAGGGACAAAAAGGGTCTCAAGATTTCATTGCTAGTTTGATGATTAGTGATTTATATCATGTATCCAAACATGTGAACTGAGTTTTCCTGTATACATAAATGATTATTAAAACAGAGCATCGGTTCTTTAACAGTGCTCTACTTACTGTCTGTAAGCCGGGAGGGAAGCTGTAGATGATGCAGATGCACCCGAAGCCTTCATGGCCAGGAAGCCCCAGATCAGGATCTCTCTCCACAATCATTGAACCGTTGACAGGCTGGTTCCCAATCAGCTGCCCGTACACAAGTCGACACACAGGACACGCTTTCTTCACCTTAAAGGCTTGTTCCAGGCAAGAGCGACAGAACGAATGGCCGCATTTCTCCAGCGTGGTCTTCTCAACGATCTCCCCCATGCAAATCGAACAAGTGTTGCTGTCCTCGGACTCGGTGTGGGAGGTCATGCCCGGGTCCAGGTCCTTCTTCTGGGATGCCTCGTGGAGCGCAGCACACGCCTCCTTATCAACGGGCTTCCTGAACCTCTGCTGCTGTCTCTGGGAGCGCCGGGGTTGGGGAGGTGGAGGCTGGAGAAGGCTCCCCTCGACATTCTGCTCCAGGGCCCCAACACAAGGCAGCAGGACCCTCTTCCTCCGGGGGGCCCCTTCCTGTTTGCTCATTTCTTTCCGGGCACATCGGCACAAGTCTATGAAGGCTTTCCGCGTCTCGCTAGAGATGGGTCCATCCATGGCTCCGGATCTGGCGTTCCTCAAGCCGTCCACGGGCTGCAGTCGCACGGCACAGCAGCCCCCCCTCTCGCCTCGCCTGATGATCCCAGCGCTCATCCCCTGCTTGTGCTGGAAGTCAATGAGCCACGGCCGCCCGGCTGCAGCCAGGTAGTCCCACACCGCCTGGGAAACCAGCACCTCGTCACTGCCCTGGCCAGCACGCACACTCATCTCATCAGAGGACACTGCACACAGGAGCACAAAATTAAAAATAAATAAAAGTCACAAATGAAAACCCTACCAGTACTTTATAGTTTAATAAACTCCATGTTATGGTGATGCAACAGCCCATTTTAGGACATGCATTATGAGGGATTATGTTAGCTTTTGCTCTGACATGGCTGTAAGAGTTTTATCCTCTGGCTGTGTTGTGGTTCAGGCCAGATGAAAGCAGCACAAAAAAACATGTTTGCAGCATGAAAAAGTCAATTAACAGTTTTTTTTTAAAAAATCATTGTAACTATTAATTGTGACAGCAGACAGAAGCAAACAGGATGAGAGCATATTAGCTGCTGGGATAGTCAGACTGTAAACAAAGAGAACTGCTATGACAGAACAGGTTATAT